AAGCTAGTAAAGTTGAGTGTAGGTAGGAAGTGGGGATGGAGGTTGGTCAGTGAGGAGGGAGGGGTGGATAGGTGGGAGAGAAAACGGACAGGTCAAGGAGGCGGGGACGAGAGGTGTGGCTGGTCTTGGGATGAGGTCAGGGGTGGGGAGATTTTGAAGCTAGTAAAGTCCACATTGAGACCATTGGGTTGTAGGGTTCCAAGGCGGAATATGAGGTGCTGTTCCTCCAGTTTTCGGGTGGCATCGTTGTGACACTGGAGGAGGCCCAGGATGGACATGTCATCCAAGGAGTGGGAGGGGGAGTTGAAGTGGTTCGTGAATGGGAAGTGTTGCCGTTTGTTGCGAACCAGTCGTAGGTGCTCCACAAAGGGGTCTCCGAGTCTCCACTTGGTCTCCCCGATGTAGGGGAGGCCGCATTGGGAACAGCGGATACAATAGACCACTGTAGCGGATGTGCAGGTGAACATCTGTTTAATGTGGAAGGTTTTCTTGGGTCCTGGGATGGAGGTGAGGTGTAGGAGCAGGTGTAGCACTTCCTGCGGTTGCAGGGAAAAGTGCCGGGGGTGGTGGTGCTAGTGGGGAGTGTGGAGCATATGAGGGAGTCATGGAGACAGCAGACCCTCCGGAAAGCAGATAAGGGTGGGGAGGGAAAAATGTCTTTGGTGGCGGGGTCAGATTGCAGGTGCCAAAAGTGGCAGAGAATGACGCGTTGAATCCGGAGGTTAAAGGGGTGATACGTGAGGACAAGGGGTATTCTGTCTTTGGATAAGTGAGTTTTACTAGCTTCATCCCCGCCTCCTTGACCTGTCCGTCTTTTCTCCACCTATCTGTTCCTCTATCCACCTTCTATCACCGCGCCCCCCCCCTCCTATTTATTTCAGAATCCCCTTCCCCTCCCCCATTTCTGAAGAAGGGTCCCAACCCAAAACGTCAGCTTTCCTGCTCCTCTGATGCTGCTTGGCCTGCTGTGTTCCTCCAGCTCTACACCTTGTTATCCCCGACTCCAGCATCGGCAGTTCCGAATGTCTCACAGTCAGACTTAGAGATGTGAGCTGGAAATGACGGGCTTCAGGATTTGTTTGTCCATGTCTGCTAATGGTGACATGTTCCGTGCGCAGTAATGTTGGTGCCAACACAGACTGCCCCATCTTTATTTCAAGGTGATTAGTTTTTAAAAGCGATGACCAACCCAGTCCCCCACCCCCACCTTGTGTGACACTAGCAACCGCTTGCGCTCTCCTGGCTCCTCGCCACAATTAAGTCCAGATTGTGGGGGCTGGTGGGGGGTGTGAGTGGCTGCTCCAAAAAAAGGGGAGCCCATATTGACAGGGCCATCTTTGTGCTGAAGCTGTTACATCGCAGGGTAGTGACACCGCACTGCAGCACTGTTCTGTGTATGCACGTTCATTGCTCCATGTAGTCGTGGTTGCATTTTCAATAAATGCAACCATCTTTAATTGTTAATACAACAACCTCCCATAAGAAAGGGATGTATAAACTTGTTGTTAAAGACTTTTTAAAATGTAATTAATTCTATTTTGATTAATACATTTATGGCTGTCTTTGGTCCAGTCTTTCCCATTGATTCTTTGTGTATCTGATTTGACTCTTTTTCAACCCTTAAATCTTCTGGGTTAAAGAGATAGATCGTTGATTCCATAATTTGCCAATATCCCAATGACCTTGTTGCTCTTGCCACCCTAATATTAGCTTATACTTGAAACAAGTTGCAACCCAAAAATATTTCAAAGCAAAGGTGCAGGAAAACATGGTAATTAACAGGACATGCAAACAGATGCCTTGCTCCTGCTCTGACCCAAATTT